AACAATAGACATATATTTAATTGCCCAGGAAAATTTACATTTACATTTGGGTACAACGAAGTAATACTAAATATAAAATAATTTTGTTTTAAAAGCTCTTTTATTTTTAAGTCAAGCATGCAGGGTGAACCTTAAAAAGTATACATTTAAGATTCACACTATATATGAGGCTGTACTTATGTGGGCAATTATTGCAGTTGTATTTTATTTCAACCCCTCAACAAGTTATGAACATTTAAATATTTGTGTAAAAATTTTTCAAATACCTGTATCTTGGCAAAAACTAAAGATATCATAAACTATTTTCATTTTGTTCGTTTTCAAATGTAGTTTAATTTAAAAAATATAAAAATAATATATTTTGAGTTTTTTAATTTTTAAACTAAAAAAGTGCTTTTTGAAAAAGAGTGACGTTTTTTTTCTCGAAATTCTTCGAAATGACGCTAGGATCACTGACGTGAATATTTAATCGAATAATACAGAAAATAAAATCCGTCAAGTGTTTCTAGAACCTTTTTTTTATTTCGTCGTTAACCTATGTATATATAAACGTTTTTACTAAATACAAATGGTCAGAAATATAACAAGCATCTTTTAATATTAAAAAAAATCGGAATATTTAGTTAATAATAATTTAGATATTTAATAATTAATCATCGCGATTTACTTCAATAATAAAATTTGGTTTAATAGCGTACATTATCTGTAAAAAATTAAAAAAACAAAAAGAACAATTTTAATTAAAAAAAAAATAGAATAATAGATCCTACTGTAGAACCCGTCTCATAAATTTGCATATTGAAAGACGTTTTTTGCAGAATCTCTTCAAGAAAAAACCTCCACTCTTTTTCAAAATACGCATTTTTTGGTTTAAAAATAAAAAAACTAAAAACGTATTCTCAACATAAAGGATGTCTTACGGTGACGGCCCATTAGAATTATTTCAGAGACTACTTCGATTTGAATTTTGAATATTTGGGATACCGGGTTTTCGGGCATGCCCTTCTCAACTAAACAACTAAAGTTGTTGTCCACGTACCACTTCCGGTTATACCGGAAGTCGACATCAACTTGCTTATTTTAAATGGAACACCCTATATACAGGGTGTCCCCGGTTCGGGTTGCCTATACCTGAAATGGATACAAAATTTCAATTGTCAAAAAAAATCATTCTTCAAAAAATTTTTGCTTGTTCAGAAACCCGTGGCAAGATAGTCATTTGTTCAGTTTAATGTACAGGATGTTCAAAAATTTGGAAAAGGTAAAAACAGTGAAGAGTAAAGTACCTTAAATCTTAACGCTACGTGAAAAAGTAATGGGGAAAAGTNATAAAATTTGGTTTAATAGCGTACATTATCTGCAAAACAAAAACAAAAAATAAAAATTTTATTTTAAAAAAATAGAATAAAAATAGATCCCACTCTAGAACCTGTCTCATAAAGTTGCATATTGAAAGACGATTTTTTTCAGAATATTTTCAAGAAAAAAAAAACTCCAACTTTTTTCAAAATGCGCTTTTTGGTTTAAAAATAAAAAACTAAAAACATTATTTTTACATTTTTTTTTAAACTGCATCTCAAAACGAACACGTTATAGGTGTTTGAAATGTTTTACCCAAAATATTCAAAGTCTAACCTCTTGAGGGGAAGCTGCTCTAAATAGGTAAGTACTAAATAATACAAAAAATCGAGAATACTAAAAATGGTCAGGTCACAACCTCGCTGTTTAGCATGGAATGCCCCATATACCTACATATACTAAAACGTAAGCAAACAGCAAGTTGAGAGAAAAGGGGTAAATAATATTTTTCGCTTTCATAGCGTCATGATTACGTAAATTTTTTTCAAATTGGAACATCCTGTGCCTCGAAAATGAAGCGTTTCTGGGCACATATTTATAGGAACTATTTTTGCAAATTTGTGACATAAACTCGATTGCTAAAGTTTCGTTGAGTATTGTTTATACCTAGTTTGACCCGGTATACCTACCTATTTGATTTGCCTATACTAATAATTTACTAATACAATTTGCACATATTTGCATCATTTATTGTATTTACACATAATAATGTAATATTTATACACAATACGTAATACTTTACACATAACTTATCCCCTTTATTGCGAAAAAATATACTGTACAGGAAACATCCTGTAAACTACTAGGTATGTCCTCGATATCGTAACCCAAATAATAATAATAATGTTTATTCACATAAGCTTACAGTGGTCGTGAAGCGTCAAAATAGACTTGTTTACAATACATAAGCGTATATTAATAATAATACTTATTTAGTTCAAATTTATAAATATGTATCGATAAAATTATACAGCATTACATCAAATAATACATCTAGGACCTAGTTTAAAACTGTAGTTGAATTGTATAAAACAAAGTGATAATAAAATATTTTTTAACAAATTCATCACCTAGTTATTTAAAAAGAAATCATTTTTAGTATAATAACAGTTTGTAGACAAAAATAAGTGCAGTGGTTTCCTGTAGGTGTTGTAAATACTAATCTCTCTAATCTCAACGTAAAAATAGTTGAAATGCCTATTGCAGAAGTATGCGAATATAGAAAGATTATAATAATAAAATGTTTTAAACAAAAACAACAAAAATGAGAAATCAAATAGATAGTAATGAAATTTCGTAAATCATTAAAAATATCGTTTTTTAAGCAGTAGGCATGTTTACCTTTCTATAAATATAGAAGCGTATGTACATTGAAGTCAATTAGTACAATTAGCCTAAACGAATATGTAATAAAATAGCAGTACCACGTAATGGAAAGGTAATGGAAAGTGGGATAAATTAGTAAAGTTGTTCTAATTTCAATTTACTGTAAGCATTTTTGAAAAAAATCTGAAGTACAGGAATATCTATCACTTTATTTGAAATCCTATAAGAAAATTAGGTACCTACTAATGATATTTCAATATTGAAACGGTGACATTTTATGTCAGAGTTTTATACACATCAAAAACTTGTATTTTGATTACTTTTCAAGTAAAAGCGCCTTACAATTAAAAACAATATAATTTTCTAATTTAATTTTTGCATTTTTTTTCAAGAATATAGTTAACATTTTACCCGACTCTTTAAATTATTTAGGTTCGCACCAACTTTCGACCTAAACTGGTTAATTTTTTATATACAGAATTCAAATTTTGTTTGTAAAATATATCTAATATTTGTGCAAATATCTCTGAAGATATTTAATGTGATGAAACTTCAGCAAGTGACATAAGGGGTAACGCCACTCTAGAGGCAAGAGCTGTCAGGAGTATCGTTTGAATAAATTTTCATTTGTTTATTTTCATAGGGCATAGCCTGCCTCGTTATACGAACAATAATGTTTATAAATACTCAGATATTTCAAAATAATGCAAGTACTTTCTAAGGACAATTTAATTTTGACTTGGACTATGTCAATGTTATTTAGAGAACTAAATAAAGGATGATGTACTACCACACCTTCACTATTTTAGCAATAACTAAAACGAAAATAGATAACGACCTCCGGTTTGTGTATTTGTTTTCCTTAACCTATCAAGCCATGAAAAAAATCTATATCATTGCAATTAATTTTTTTAGTAAACGGAGACAATTACAAAATTTTTCTGATAAGAATCGTCTACCGTTGGGCAGGAAAATAATATTTTTATACCCATGTATAAAAATACATTTTATTAATAGTACTTTAAAATGAGCCGTCTTTTCTTGAAATCGATTAAGGGCCCCATGTTCTTTAAATAGTGTTTTCCGCAAAGACAAACAATTTCAATCATTTAATAACTGAATAATCTGAAGCTTATCAAATAATAGGAATGTTATGTCATGCCATCTGGTAATTTTCAAAGACGCCGCAGTAAAACGAATAAACAGGTGCAAAAAACGATCAAACCATCAAGGTTTTAGGTACTGAAATCTACGAAAATACTAACTTTTTTATATATAATTCCACATGTAAATATTCTTATAACATTTACTTGCTTAGTCCTACATATAAAATTGTTTACTTTTATTTATAAGTACGTGAAAATAATTCTTAAAATGTGGGGTTAGAATAACAGCAAACGCATGTTTTACAAACGCTTTTTTTTAGTTATTATTTTATTTGAGTAAATTTAAATGGTAACAATGAATAAACAAAACATCAAGGATTTTATTTTTGTGCTTACTTTTGTTCTACACGTTTTACTTTTAAAGATTTCAGTACCTAAAAACGCCAGAAATTTCACTATTTCTCGGCCAGGAATATGGCCACCTTAAGGCATTTAGAAGTTATGACAATTTAAAAATTTCCGAGATGGCGTCCTTTATACTGAAGTTGTTATGGTAATAACAAAAAAAAAGTTCAAACAAAACTTGTGAAGGCTTTAACAGTGTATCTAAAAGGCGTATTTTCAACTTAGGTTATATAACCGAAATTTCGCAATTTTCTGTGCTTTTATTAAAATACTTGCACTATTTATTTTTAAGTTTACCCTCCTGGAGTAAACTTTTATGAAAAATCCTGAAATACATCAACTTTAGAATTTGATTTTTTTTACAATAAAATTATTTTTGTAAATATTTGATTTTCACTACAATTTTTGTCGAGCAAATATTTGAAAAAGAATAATTTTTACCTTTATAAAACCTGGGGTTCGAAATACTGTATAGAAATTGTATAGAAACAGTGATTTCTTGAATAAACTGTTTTTGGGAGTAAACTTTAGGGGTGCTTTTTACCCCCTTACAATATGGTGAAACCTCAATCAAATCGGTGACTGACACTTGGATAAACTTCCTTGTTAGTAAAGTCACCACTCCAAATTTCATCACTTTATATGACAAATATCTTCAGAGATGTTTGCGTAAATGTTATATTCTTTAAAAAAAATAGTACCGTGTATTTTGGAAATTAAGCCGTTTACTACATAGGTACGTTTATACGAATTTTTCTTCGTAAAATTATCCAATATAATATATAATATGTGAAATGATCTTACCTTGATCCGGGTCTGAATTTTTCGTCGTACCACAGGCACATATGGAAAATAGTAGCCATGTATCTCTTATATGCTGACATTTCCGTACTTGACATATTGGTCATAACTAGTATATTTACAGATGAAGGTAACGTTAAAAGTGCTATCAGTCCTAGAAATTTACTTAAGAATAAACCGAATATATTCCTGTAAAAAAATTCTTGACCCCTAAAAAGAGCAAATAAAATTATTGTCAGGAGATATATTGTATTATATTGAAAAATTTGCTAGTACCTAATCTCAAAAAAAAAATCTTACTTTTTGAACAATTGTTCATCATAGTATGGTGGTAACTTTAAATTGTTATTGAAAGCATCTGAAGTTTCATCACAGGGTACTTTGCTTCCTTCATTCAAGAGATTTTCCACAAACTGTTCTGCTGAAAAATCTGAAAAGCACATATAGGTATTACTAAATATTATGATTATTGTTAGTTAAGCAAAATTAATCATTGCATAATAATACACATAATTTAAATTTTTAAGATTTTTAAATTTAACCTTTTTTAAGTCTGAATATTACTCATATTATACGAAACGTAAACATAAATTTCACATTTACAGGATAATGACATACACCATAGTGACCTTGAACTTAATATAAACATCCAAGAGCTACAATAAACAATATTAAATGCTTTCTCCTGCTTCCACATGACTAGCGGCGCTAATCCTATTCTACTATATTTATCATTTGTTAAACGCCAGTGGCCATATAATGAATTAAACTATGATTGTTACGTACTTAGATAAAAAGAAAAATATTGTAATAAGCGTTTCTTCAGGGTCTTCATTTTAAATTAGTTATTATGAGTGTAAATATTGTTAAATACCGGTAGATTGTTATAACATCTTATTGCTAAAAAGCGGTATTACTAAATTGAATACTTGTGATGGTGAAATATTTTTATTGAATTAGTTTACAGTTTCATTAGGAAACTGATTAGGATTATCACCTTTACCTTAAGAAATAAAAGATATAATACGCGTACCTAGTACTTTGTTATTTCCTAACAGGTTTAACATCTAAGAACACTGTTGCTTAATTTTGCATCAATAATGACCTTAAGATGCCCGTGATCAGGGTTACATTGGTTTGTTTTTAATTTTATTTCTATATCAAGGTGGCTAAGTTGGTGATAAAAAAATACAAACGAGTCTACAAGGTTTGTCTGTTATAACATAAAAATGTTAATTTCAAGTTTACAAAAAAATGTTAATATAAAAGTTACAGATACTTTTTCAAGAAAAACCTGCAGCATAAAATGAATTGCTTTTGAATGATAACAAAGCAAAAATGAAGGTAAGTTTTACATACTAAAGTACCTAAAATATAGTACATATATGAATAATACAGGGTAATTCACAACTTATCCAAAAAAATCAATATCGTAAAAAAATATGTAAAATCCTTATAGCTCCCGAAAAAATATTGAAGTTGTAGTATTTTCAACCCTTAAATCGCTGGATTACTGCACAATAGCTGTTGTAACATCAGGTATGTCAAATTATTTTATTAATTATAACCACAAATTAATTTTATTAATGAATAATATCAATAGCGGCAAAAACTGTTGAATTTGCTTATACAAAATTTAATTTATTTCTTTCCCTGACAAAGAAATTCTTTCAATTTTTTTGTCCGTTCATTTTTTATTACGCTTTGCCGCCGTGCCGGTCGCCGATTGCACTCTTTGCCTTGCGCAAGGTCAGGTTTTACAGTGGACCAGTTTCCAGTGCCGTGCAGAAGTGTATTTTAAATCATTTTCGAACTGCCCGTTCTGATTTTTTTTTACAAAATTGTATTTGTAAGAGTCCCCTTTAATTTCATAAATGTTTTTAATAAGTTCTGAAACACCCTGTATGCACGCATAACATTCAGTTTATTCATGTAACTTTGAGGAGGTTTTTTTCTTAAATTATGTTAAAATTGGCTAAAGATAAAGATAAAAAACTCTTGAATTGCCAATAGTGTAATCAAAATGTTTAGATTGTCAAATTAATATTGCTACGTAATTGCATCTTGAAGAGAATTAATCTCTGAAAATTGCCTCAAATTGTTAGCATACCGAAGACAGTTAGGTACTAGGTCATCTAAAAAACATGTTATAATTCCTAGACAGAAACCTTGTAGGATACAGGATGTAGCAACATATTCCGCTGACTTAGAACTACCGATTGTAAAGGGCAAGAAAGGTAAAATATTAATAGAGTAAGAAAAATGTTAGATACGCCAATCGTATCTAGTTTATTAAATGCTTTACTGAAATCGGTATAGGAGATATCAACGGGATTGTCGGCATCTAATGCAACACGTAGATGTTGAGTCAGGTATAGAAAATTAGTTGTCTGGATCTGCCTTTCGTGACCATGTTGAACTGCAGTAAGTTTTCGATGAATTTCACTATAAATTATGTCATGTCAATAAAAATCAAGTAGCGGTATAGCAATTAGCCGAACTGATTAAATGTGAAACATACTGTATATATAACTTATTTTAAATCTTGCAGTTAGACGTGAGAAAGTTTAAATTATCGTATTATTTAACCTATACAATACATTTTGTCGTTAAGAGGAATGTTGACTCTCACTGGCTGTTTGGAAAACAGTTGAAACGAGATTATTTCAAGTATCATTAAGAGCCAACTTTTACCTTTTAAAGCCTTCATTGACAAAACAAATTCAAACAATGTTACAGACATAAACAGTAAAGAAAATAATTGAATAATTAGAAAAGGACTGTACGAATATACATATGTTGCTTCGTGATATTTTAGAATGGATGGTCAAACTAGGATCACATTCAAAAATACAATCATGAGAAAAGGCATGATGACAGATTTTGAAAAACTGTTCTATGATATTCGGAAGTATTTATTATTTCCAAAAAATATATTACTTCTGTAGAAAATAAAAGGTTTAGTAGAAAAATGTCGCCATTTTAATTTTAAATCTAAACTCACGCAAAAACGGTCGCAGGTGTCATGGCGTCTACATGACGTCATATCTATGTTTGTCAACAGTAAACATAAGTTGCTAATATTTTGTGTTGCAAGATTCATTAGTTAAATTTATTTATAAAAATACAAAGTTACCATAGTAGTATATGCATTTTATTTACCCTCAAATTGTACGTTTGTATAATAATGGATACACATTATCTTTCCATGAAGAGACTAAAATATTAAGAAAATCTGATACATCGTTGTCATCAAATGTAACATTAATTATTTCAATTTTTTTATTTGTACAATAGTTGCAAAGAATTACACCGAAATAGCCCTTTTGAAGTCATGTTAAATACATTTAAGCTGCCATCTGCACATAAAACTTCTGGGTCGGTTTTGCTTTTTCCACATAATGTTTAAAGGTCTTCACTTAATTTCAATAATACTGTTTTCACAGATTGCATCAGGCGATCCTGTTATCATGGGATAGTTTTTGCAACACACACAACACCACATTTTTTAATTTTCTCCCCAGTCTTTTTCCTCACTTCATCCTACAACATTCTATCGCGTTTCATGACCAATACGTCTGGGATTTTTCCTCCCATTATTAACGTGATCAGAGTTGCATCATTGGTTTTGCACCGACTAAATTCAAACGCTCGTGAGGCTGTCACTCTGCCATATCTTAACTCATGCCAAAAACAACTTTGATGTTGGTCTCGTCTCTTCTTAAACTTTCATGTCATCTTCTTCAGTCGATACGAGTATTTTCAAAAATGTGTCGCAGGACTGTTCTTTGTATTTCAGCGCCAATTTATGTAGGTATGGATAAACTTTTGATCACAAACAGTCTTTTTGATATTTTATTAACTCGCAGTTGTTGAGTTTTATTTTCTTTCCTTCTTATAGAAACTTTTCAAGTACCTAACGTTCCCTGATTATGGTTTTGGTAACACAAAACTAAGCAACTGATAGTTGGGAAACACAAAATATTTAAACGAAGATAAATACTGCGGATATTGTCGAAGTACAAATGACACAAAATGACATTTACATAAATGTGACGTAATTCTCTCTGATTGGTGTTCAACCTATCATGGCGGTTTGCTGTGTTATCAAAAATATTATCAATCCCGCTCATAATATAAAAATAAATACGTTTTTTATAATCAATTAATCATATTTTATTAGATAAATTCATAATATTAGCGATTCTTGGTTACGTCATCGTGCCTAATGTAGATAAGATTTTGTAGGAAATACTTCAGTATTAAATTGATGAATTTCATATCAAAATACTCGAATTGGATTAGGTAGAAAAGAAGTGTTAATAATTTAATTTTTGTAATAGTATTATTTAACGAAAATATTTTTGATATTTGATATTTCATACTATGGTTATAAATTTGAAATTATACATGAAGTATGGTCGATGGTAAATAATAATCAGATTAATCTTAATTTCCCAGATGAATTTCGCAATGCTACCAGTTTCAACAATTATTATTTTTTTGATTCTACATCTAATTTAAATGCCAATTACTACATATTTTATAACTGTTTCAGACGATTTATAGCTTATCATGGTCACAAGAATAATTAATTACTAAACAGAAACTTAACAGGATGGAGCCATTTCGGACAAAATGTTTTAAGCATATTTAATATAGGCATTAGTACCGTTAATACATGCTGTAAAACTTCCTTAGAAATAGAACATTTACGCCTTCAATGGAGAATTTCATGTGAAAAGCTAACCTCAAAGAACACATCCTAAACAGTACAGAAATCTTCCTCCAATTAATACTATGCTTACAACATACAAATACAACCAAAAATTACGAAATTGAAAAGATTTAGTACTTTAACGTTGTTAACTAAAGTGACTGATGAAATCTTGAAGGCTACTGATAATTCTTGTATTTGTTTTTCTCTTCGAAAGAGATATACTTTCTTCTACCGTTGAACATTTCAAGAAGCACGTATTTTAAATAGTATGATACATTTAACGTTTACTTCTGTATTGATATTTATGTCAACTCTGTAAAATTATGTATTTCTATTCAAAGAAGTTTAAATCTTTTGCAGAATTTCAGGGCTCATTCAATCAGGGCTGATTAGTTTTGTTTAATGGTTCAATGATTTCCGGCTAGTTGCCACGTCGTCGATTTACAACTCAACGATATGTTAACGACACCATCATCTGGCCCCACGGACGCAACACCGTAGCAGATTTCCTGTATCACATCAGTGGGATACATCCAGATATCCAGTTTACCATGCAAACAGAGAAAATGCCGCCCTTCCCTTTTTGCATGTTTTGGTTGAGAGAAAATCAAGTATATAGGAAGCCAACTCACACAGACAGATATCTGAATAAGGAGTCCCACCACCACCCAGCCCAGAAAAAGGGGATCATAAATACCTTGATTCATCGA